TTGCGGCACCCAGGCGGGGAATGAGGCCCCCGGCCAGACCCCTCGCCGGTGCCCAGCACTGCCTGGACCCTCCAGGCCAGAGGACAGGTTGGGCTCACCCGCAGCGATGGCCCCGATGAGGGGCACCAGGAAGAGGTGGATGGGGTAGTTCCAGGGTGCGATGATGAGCACCACCCCGTACGGGTCCTTGCGGATGAAGGCCGAGTCCAGCTGCAGCACCTGCGAGGAAGGCCACGATCTCACTGCCGCTCCCACCACCTCCTGCCCGGCCTCAGCCCAGCAGGCAGCACTCCCCTCCCCAACCCGCTCTGCCCCTTGCCACTTGCAATTCATCTCCCTCTCTTCCCTTCCCCGGCCAGCTCAGAGCTTCCCCCTTACCAGATTCTTGTCCACGTACTCGTCCTTCATCCAGTGGGACAGGTTGTTCAGGGTGTCATTGAGCTCGTTCTTGCAGAGGAGGATCTCAGTGAAGCAAGCCTCAAAGGATGGCTGGGGACAGGCATCACGTAAGCATCACCCCAACACCACCAACCCCACCTCCTCCCCATCCGCAGGTGACATCTCCCCCTCTTCTGCCCATGAAGAGCAGTAGAAGCTGTTAAGTAGAAGTTGCTGTTACCTCCTGCAACCTCCAGGGAATATCACAGTCCCTGAAATGTTATGAAAATAGGTATTTGGCCAGAGGAAGAAGCCAGTATTTAACATCTGTACAATATTTAACAGCCTCCTGAGCTCAGCATCTGTGATCTGCTCGCCTGGCCACAGAGCCCTGAGCCAAAGGAGGACCACGCAATGTCACCAGAGCTCCAGAAAAGCTGGTACCGGTGTCAGAGGCAGCTCCCTGCTGCTGACCTGGGAGGGGACAGTGCTCCTGCACTGCTGCGTTTGCATCCCGACCACTTGGGTGCATGAGCTGGAAGCAAAGCCCTGAGCCTCCCTCCCACAGCCTGTGCGTGAAAGCTGAACTTTAGACCTTCCTTTGTTCAAAGAGAAATAGGAAGAAGAGCAACCGCTTAATTAAACGCCTCCTGATGGAGCTTGGCTGCACGCCACCAGACTCCCGTCCTGGGCAGAAGCCCCCCGTAGCTCCTGGGGCTCCTGCAGTGAGCTGGCACATGGCTGGGAAAGGCAGGGCAGGTGAGACGCCCCGGTCGGGGAATTAAACAAACCCAGCAGGTTTCTCCAAGATAGTCATTGCCTGTTGGGACAGTCTAAACGGACGGTGACTCGGGAGCGGTGGCAGGACATCAGAGCCGGGATCAGAGGGGCCGCCGAGGCATTTCCTGCACACGGTGGGTCCTCTCTGCTGCCGTAACCGCAGCCGTGAAGCACAGCTCAGGACCGTTCTTGCAGGAGAAGCGTGGAGACACAAGAAGATAACTCAGCAGGCTCAGTAAAGCCCCTCCATCACCCTGGAGAACAGGAGGAGCCAAGCTCCTGTGCTGTGAAGCCGTGTTTGCAAAGCGCAGTGAGCGCAGCTCTCTGACACCCTCCACCACAACGTCCGTTGGACTCCTCCAACCCCAAAGCATCCCTGGGCGGGGGAGCCTTCCTCCATCACTGCAGCAAAGCTCCACTTTGGGGTTGGAAAGTTTGGTTGCTGACTCCCAGGCAGCAACCTCTCACGCTCTACCACCAAGCTCCACTCAAGAGACCTTCGGGTCCCCAGTGGGGCTCAAGCCCGTGGACACGTGCTGCTGGCCAGGAGGTCAAGCTGCTCCTAGATTTGAGGGTTCAGCAAGCACTCGGATGTCCGGTGAAGCAATGGGGCTGCTCTCGGCCTGGGCTGACAGTTGCATCACTAGGAGGATGAGGAAATTGCTGGTGAAGATGGGGTCTTAAGAGGTTTCGATGGGACACAGAGGTTGGAAGATGGGACATTAAGACCAAGGTCATCCAGGTTCCTTCAAACATCCGTGGAGAGAAACTGGCACCCCTGGAGGTGAGGTAGCCACCTCAGATATGTAAGACCAGATGAATTGTCCATCTAACTATGAAGGCCTGACTGCATAACAAGCGTATTACTAGACAACCAGCTCTAATTACATACAATTAGGAGAGATGAAGGACGCACTTCGAGTGCTGATGCCTATCAACCGCTGGCTGAAGGAGAAGGCCCTCATCTCAGACAAACAAGGCAATTACAAGCCTAGGGAGATGTCAGGATGTAGAAACCCGTGTCTGAGGGCACGGCCGCTGCGCTGATACACCCACAGACACATGTCCTTTGGGTCCGGGTGCTACCACTACCAGATAAGACCAGTTAGGCTGCGCCAGGGCAAGCCGTCCCTCTGAAAGTGTTTCCCAATGCCATGTGAGCAAAGTGTGCAGTGGTCCATTGGGCTGCAGCACACATCAGGAAGGGAAAAAGGAGGAGAAGAGGGTCCGGAAGCAACCGGCAGAGAAGAGATGAGCTGAGACTGCTGAAGACAGCCACAGCAGGGATGCTCCCGCTTTCTCAACAAATTATCTGGGAGCTCCTGGCGTGCCGCAATACCCAGAGCCACATCCAGGTCCCCACCTGTGCCACCGCACGGCTCACAGCGCTCTGCCAGCGAAACCAGTCCCTGCGAGGCCAGTGAGCTGCCCCGGCCCTGAGCAGCCCTGGGAGGAATGTGCAAGACCAGCATGTTGCACAACGCCAGTAATCCTGGGTGCAACCAGGCTGGTGAAGAGCACCCCAGGACATCACCCTCTGCATGGGTCACATGACATCACCAGGGACTCGATGCACGGGGCAGACACGGTAAGTGAAGCTCAGTAACGCTGAGGCTCCCACCTTGCATTGGCTAACGGGGACTCTGCCCAGTTTAAGCGCGCTGGGGACAGGGTTAGCAGCATCAAGCCTGCCCGGCGGCATGGTCCCTACATGTGCTGTGGCTAACCCTGGCCATGGAGAGCTCTGCAGGGACCCAGCACCTATGGGTGTGCCACACCAGCCCTGGCGCACATCAAGGGGCATGCAGCACCCTAATGAGGGGACCCCCGTGCCCAGAGCCCCACACCTGCACCCAGGAGGACACAAGACCCAGACAAGAGGGTACGCAGAGCCCCTACGATGTGACCCTGGTAGCCAACACCTGGCTCCCTCTCACCTTGCCCATGTCCAAGGCGGTGGCCTCCAGGATGTCCTGCTTCTTCTCCTCCAAGAAGCGACCCAGGGCCTCCAGCTGGGCCACGCGGTACTCCATGGGCCGCGTCTTCCCTGAGAGCCAGGCTGCCCGCAGGTGGTTCACCAGCCCTGCGTAAGGGTTGGCGCTGCGGGGACAGGGATGTCAGAGAGACCCCAGCCCCGTCCCAGCCCCTCGTGTTCAGGTGATAAGGGAGAGGAGCTCCGCATTACCCCAGCTCTGCTCCACCCCAACCCAGCATCAAACTGGAGCCCCAAAGTACCTGGGGAGAGAGCAGGGAGCCTGGACACTTGGGTCTTCCCCTTACACAAGGGCTCCTTGTGCCCCCTACCCCCTGCACCATCCCCAGCAGTCCCTTGTCTCCTCCCTTGGGCCACGCCGGTGGCCCATGGATCACAGACTTGTCCCCCAGCCCCCCTCATCAGCACCAACCCAGGGACACCAGCACTGCCACAGCACCCCCTGCCCACCTCACCCCAACCACCCTGTCTCCCTCCTGCTCCGGCCACATGCCCCCGGCCCCTCGCTCTCACCATGCGGCGCTGCAGATCACTGGCCCCTTCTGGATGCCTCCACTGCCCCCGCTGCCTGTGCTGCACCCGGCAGCTTTCCCGGCATCACTGCCCACGGGACTGCACTTGCCGTAGCCCGGGGGCTGCTGCCCGGGGGCCTCAAGGTGCTGGTGCATGCCGAGCTGAGGGAAGGAGCTGCTGGTCCCCACAGAGAGTGTGCTGACCCTGGAGAGAGACACGGATGAGTTATATCAGAGCTGGAAGCACCGGAGATGCCGGCTCAGTCCCAAGATGAGTCGCCCCGCAGCGAGACATCCGTGCCCCGAGCTCGGGGCCGTCCTGGCCGTGGGGTGACTCAGCCCAGCGTGGCTGCCGGAGGCCCCGGTGAGCCTGGCGGTGGATGCCTGGGATTCCCGGGCCCTCCCCACGTTCCAGGACAGCCGCCAGCCTCCAGCCATGGACCTGCCTGGGCTGCCCTACCGATGCAGGCTCATCTTGCGGGGACCCAAGGGACCCCAGTGCGGGGCAGCATCCCAGGCTGCCCCACGGGGATGCCCAGGGATCCCAGTGCAGGGCAGCATCCCAGGCTGACTCCTGGGATCCCCGGGGATCCCGGTGTGGGGCAGCATTCCAGGCTGACCCCTGGGATCCCCGGGGATCCCGGTGTGGGGCAGC